AACGCAAGAAATGGCTAAAGTGGAGTAAGATAGGAATTTGTGTACCTCAGCAGAGTGAGGAACCAAAGGAATTCAACATGGAGAAAAGTCTGGAAAATTTATTTAAGCGGCAAGAAGAGATGGAGAGAAACTTTAACGTTCATTTAAGAGCTGTAACATTAAAACATGGACAGATAAGTAAACGAAAACATTCTAAATCTGGAGAAACGAAGAAAGACAACAATAAATGGTTAACATTTTAATTTGTGTGTGTGGACAGGATTAGCTGCCTCTGTTGCCAGCGAGCAATAAACGGGAAAAGAATCAAACGTATTGGATGCCAAACCTGTAGAAGGGGCAGAAACGTAAGCTCGTGCTTATAGAAAACGGAACTGTTGAAATTAAAACGATCGAAAATAGAGGACAATGTAAAAGCTGGACAATATGTTTAAGAACTATATGTACTTGTGTAATTCATTGTTATACTTAAAAAATAAATTTGTTACAAACGTTAATCTTTTATTGTGTGTTAATTTATGCATCCAACCAACGCGGTAGTCTTGACAACAATATTTTGTTCTTAAAATGCATACATTTTCGTATTCGTGTTACCCCCTTTTTCGCCCTTTTGAGCTCCATTAGGCTCGGAGCCAGCTGCATAGCCTGGAAATTAAAATTTTTGTGGCAATTTTTGCACGCAAAGCCACGCGCCCGATTTAAGGTCTGCGCCTCCATAGTAAATAATCTATCCATAATAAACACTTTATCTTGTAATCAATTTACGACGGTTAATTAATGACTTTCGCGGTTAACGTTTTAGATATTCACAAAAGACAACATTTCGATATATCTCACAAAACCCACAACGTATTATGCAATATCTTAGGATATTATACAATATCTTAAGATATCATACAGTATCTTAGGATATCAATATCTTAAGACTAGGATATCATAGAGTCCCTTAGGATCATACAGTATCGTGGGATATCAATATCTTAGGATTAGGATATCATAGAGTTCTCTTAGGTTATCATACTGTATCTTAGGATATCATGCAATATCTTAGGATATCATACAGTATCTGAGGATATCAATATCTTATGATATCCTAGAGTGACTTAGGATATCATACAGTGTCTCAAGATATCATACGGTATCGTAGGATATCATATAATATCTTAGGATATCATCCAGTATCTCAGGATATCCATAACGAAAAGTATGTTCCTCTTGTATTTCGCTTGGTAAAATAAGAAAAATTGTATATATTCACATGGGGTGGGCGGGTTAATCACTTTTTAATGACTCTGTAATAACCATGTTAACTTAGCAACAGCTAAGTTCTACTTAAGATATGTCGCGATTTTTGTTCTGCTTGGAAACGTATTACTCAAAACGACTCCTTTAAGAGCTTCCAAATTCATTAAAAATATTAAAACGAATTTCGGTCGCGTCTTGAAAATAAATTTGCGTATACTTAAATAAAACGCTCGCGAAATTTATACCGACGCTTAACTATTGTCATTAGATGGCATGGGGACGCGAAAAATTGCTGAGCTCAGCAAAAAATATTGACTATTCGCCTGAACATGTCCACGACCGCTCGTAGTAATATCCATTTACATCCATTAGGATCCTATTGGTCATGCAAATTCGTATTGCCTTAATCCTCTTAATCACCTCAAACCAGAAATAAACTAAAAACTGCAGATAAACAAACGGCAACGACGTAGCCAGCTAACAACTCTAGCTAGATAAACAGACGGCTGCATAGTAGTATGAAATAAAGTAAGAGCTGCAGATAAAGAAACGGTAGCGGAGTAGCCCAAAATATAAAGTGTAGATAAACAAAGGGCAACGAAGTAGCCAGAAATATAAACTGTAGATAAACAAACGGCAACGAAGTAGCCAGAAAAATAAACTGTAGACAAGCAAACGGCAACGAAGTAGCTAGAAATAAAAACTGCAGATAAACAAACGGCAGCGGCATAAAAATATCAAGTAAGTCCAAATAAATTAACATGAATCTGAATAATTTAAAATACTTAAGAAATGATGACGTAATGGGCGGTGCTAAGTGCACCGCCCGCACCGCCCGTCGTAGAACCCTCACTCTCTATACTACTCATGTTTTATTCGTTGAAGAGGCAGTAGGGATTTAAATAAGGTTACACCGGCTCCTTCTTATCGTGTTATCTGGGCCCGTACTCAAACTAACGACTCTAGGGTGGGACCTGAATTCGTTAGGGGCCAAGTTTGACGAAAAAAATTTCCTAAATTTGTTATTTAAATTTCTTCGAATTGATCTTGGCTGATTTCGTGTGGACTCACGTGTGGTGATACGGACGGGAATAGATTGACGATGAGCATTACTAGCGTAGGCTTGTGATTTTGGAATTGAGGCCAATGGTACACTGCCAATCCATTCAGGTATTGACTTAGTGTTCTGAGTAGGCGTTTGTGTACTATTTGCTCTGAGATGTAGGTTTTAAAGCTGATTTAGTTGAGCGAGGCGAGATTGATGCATACTTTGTTGTCCCACAGATCGGAATTTTAATTAAATTATCTATTGTTTGAAACAAAAATGTAAACAAAACACGCACATGAGCTATCAGGACGGACTTGACAGCCTCTTTAAGTTTTAAAACATCGCCGAAAAAACAAACTTTTTGTCGAAATTCACGGGCTACCATGCAAGCCAAACAAACTGGGAAGAATTGACGAACATTTTTCATGTTTTGTTTTTGTAGTTGATGCTGTGTATTTATCAAAGTCATCTCTACCAAATGAAGGTTTTGCAAAAATTAAAACTGACAGTGGAATCAAGAATGTTTGTTGGCAAAGTTTAGGAAACGCAAAGGATGTTGTTTGTCGTGAATTGGGTTACAAAGAAGCAGACTCACTGGTTGCAAAGGCCGCTCCATCGGATTTTAAAGATGAAATATTTTCTGGGAATATAGTGTGTAATGATGGTAATGCAAAATTATCCCAATGTTCGGTTACCACTTCTTCCCAAAGTTGTTCGAAATTCTCGTACTTAAAATGTAAGTTTTTAAAGAAAAGGATGACGGGAATGTGACTTAGGTTATGGAAGGAAAGAAAGAATGAAAAAGATAAAACAAAATTCGTGAGATTTAATTTTTTTATTTTAGGTCAAATTTGTCCCAGACCTCTGTTAGGAGATAAACAAAGATTTCCGGATTCATCATTCACTGCCTCAGCCTCTTCAGGTCGTAGTCCCTCCGATGCAAGAATATCTAGTGCAAGTTCTTGGTGTGCTCCTATCTCGGATGGCAAACATTATCTTCAAGTGGACTTAGGAAGACTTTATGTAATATATAATTTCGTAACATTTGGTGACAATTCCAACCCAAAATGGGTGACGACGTACAATTTGAATTTCACTGTTGATTGGATAAACTGGAAATCAGTTTGGGACCATGCGGTACTTGCTATTTACATTATTTTCAGGCAAATACATTTTATAATATATTTTGTGGTGGGAATGCAACGGAAAACCCTAAAAATAGACATTTCCCTTTATTGCATGCATTTATTAAACCTGTTGTTACAGGAAGTTCATATTCCAAAGATGATGACGCTTTTACTATTGTCTTTAGATCTCGGGAAACAAAGATGCTTACAATGATGCAGCCATACAAGATTACCCTGCAGGCATAACAACAAGAGCTTTACGGTTTATTCATTATCATATGCTGGTCAACCGTGTATGAAAATTGAAATTTGTGGTGCTAGTAAGTTACATTAATTTTTCCAATGAAGACATGATAAAGAGTTCATAAGATGAATTAATGATACTGATGCTATTTTATATAAAAAATTTGTCTTACAGTTTCCTTCTTTCTATAGCTCGGTTTCCAGATAAACCTACAAACCTCGCAGTGACTAACATCAAATCAAGAAGTGCTGAAATATCTTGGGTAGACCCAGGGAACACAGGAGACAAAGTTCTTTCAAGATTTTGGATTAAGATGAAGAAAGAGAACTCCTTAATCCTGAATACTACCACAGATAAAGTGAAAAATACAAATTAGATAATCTCACTCCATACACTACATATGAAATAACCGTGGCTGCTGGTAATCAAAATGGTTTTGGTGAGGAGATTATTACATCCTTCTTCACATCCGAAAATGGTGAGTATTAAAAGATCAATTGATTTTAAAGTGTTGTATCACATCACATAGACCGTGCGTTATTCACAACTGTTAATGAATTGAAGGCAATATTGTGCTGAAAACATTTTAAAATGGTGATGTATTTTGGTCGCTTTCCAGTTGCTTACTTTTCGAAAACATGTTGCCTTCTATTTCATTTATAAAGAAACTTTCTTCGAACATCAAATAAATACCTATCTATAAACAAATATATTTCACTTGCTACTATGGTTTAAGTAAATAAATACAATCAAAAGTTTCGATACTCCAGGCTAGTGTCTTTACAACAGGAGTGATAAAAAAAAGTTACCACGTGGCTCATTGTATTTTATTTTACCTCAGATTTAATAATTTAAATACAAACCTCGGTTTTATTCTTCAGCTCCAAGTGGTCCTCCATTGAACATCAGAAGCACATCAAGAAGTACATCATCATTCTCTTTAACCTGGGATCCTCCTGAGAAAGAAAAACAAAATGGCGTCATCATCAGTTATACAGCGTGTGTTTCACATTCCGAAAATGGTTCCTGCTTTAGGACATATATCACAAGTGAAAGAAAGTGGCTCGTCAGCAATTTGAATGTATCAACAAAGTATTATGTTCGTGTTCGTGCCAGTAATAAAGCAGGAAGTAGTATTTACAGTGGAAGTGAAGGATTTTTTACAAATGGAAGTAAGTATAACATGTATATTTGGATGTTGTCTGTGGTGAAGAAAACTGTTCAGAATTTGATGTTTGCCTCCTTTTATGCTGTTCAAAAACCCTACACAAATCTTCGTTATGGCAATACATTTTACTCATTAATACTTTCACATTTTCCTCCAGGAGCAGCAAAGAAGGCCACAGATGTGACATCAAGCACACTTACATTTTCGTTCGAAATTCCATCAAAAACGTTTCTGTAAGTTTATCGACTCTCGACTAATAAAATTTAGCTTCCGTGGTCGCCGTTGTAATTTATTTGTAATATATATATAGATTTCTTTTCTTTGTGTACTGTATGCAAATCAATTTTAATTTTCATTGCAGACGTAATTAAGTCGATATTCTGTTACATCGGCAACATTGAGATAATCGCCATCGTCAGGGCCAAATGCAAACTGAGCTTCCATTAGATTACTCTTAGATATCAGGTAGCTATTTGGATCTATTGTTAACGGTTGTTACATTGAAGTAAGAAGGTAAAATTTTGTTTGTAGTTATTTCTACGTAGTGGCGTTAAATCTAAAAGATGGCAAGGAACCTGCATCATCTGACAGTTACCAGAACAGTGAGTTAGTGACGTATTCCGAGGCAAGAAAATCAACCAATCCAAAACCTTATATCGCTGCAGTTGTTACATCCAGCACTGATATTAATAACATGTTTATACTTGGTGATGGCAAAAATACAAGTGATCCAACATCACGAAGACGCAGGTCAACAACAAGTGATTATTATAATGGTCCATTGGAGCCTGGCACTAGTTATAGTGTTTTTCAAAGGATTTTTACCAATGAAAAAGTATGGTATTTGTTGGTTATCTCACTTTAAAATTTAACGTTCCCGTTTCTAATTTCTCAAAAATGAAATCTTCTGACATTAGCCAGGATAATATACTTAAACTACCCAAGCACTCTAAGCAGAAACGTTTACAATAATTTTCACATAGATTGCCCTAACATAGATGGAATAAAAATCAGCCCACATAACTCGGAGAACACGTGATGAACTCATTCGAATATCTATGACTAAACAGATAAAAAGTAGCTTATAACCCTTTCTACTATAGAATGAATATTTCTCCACAAACTGGACTCCTGCTTCAAAAACAAACGAATATACAGGTAAATACCGAGAAACAATTTAACTGTATTCATATATAATTTATAATTAGGTAGTAAAATCACGAGTAAAGGTTGGTCCTGACTAAATCCATCATTCATAGAAAATAATGGTAGCACATTTCTACGATAAAAAATCTATTTTCTGTTTCCTAGGTGGCCCTCGTGTACTGACCAACATGTCCAGTGGTGACATAAAGGCAAAGGAAGGTGATCTTGTCAACCTACTATGTTCTGCTCAAGGTGAACCTCCAATTACTTTCAGCTGGGAAAAAGACCAGAAGCCACTAGACAGTATCGTAGAAATAGAAATAGAAAAGCCCCACCGCAGTTCTTTTCTTGTTGTAACAGTGAAAGACCAAACAAGTTTTGGGCAATATATTTGTCATATCCGAGACCGATTTCAAAGCACTACTCATACAATTTCGATCCAAAAAGATACAGGTAATACTGCATTCGACTTTTTCATCCGTCATAAATTTTGTCAATCAAATGTA